CTTGAAATTTATGAGATTACACAGGTTACTCAGACCTTCGTAATGCAAATCAAATTTAATGACATCGATTATTTCGAGAATATATTGCGAATTATTTGCATTGGGTAAGTCGGAAGTAACATCCTTATTTGAATCTATCCAAAAATTGGAATCTTTGAACCTCACTCTGCCTTTGCGATGCGCAATAAAGATACATACCCGGCCCGGGAAACTTACCGATCCCAGGAAGCATATCGACTCTTGTAATTTAGCGCTCCCCAGAAATTTATTGACTCCGGTAACTTATCGATTCTGGTAACTTATCGATTATTGAAATCTTATCGACCCTGGTAATTTACCGACCTCAAGAATTACTTACCTACTATTGATCAGTTGTTACTGTGTTATCCACTCTTACCGACAAAGAATATCACATTGAAGTTCTAGCACTGAACGGCAGTGTCGCTCTCTCATATTGACATTTCTAGAGCTTCCTCATTTGTAACGGACGCTGTGTGTGATAGTGTAACTAGATCTGTTCGTTTTTGCTGCACCGCTGAACTAGTGCAATAAGTTATAGAATTTTCAATTTGCTGACTCGATTCTACTCGGGCGATGTTTCACTAATCTTTGCAGTACTGGGGTTCGATTCTTGAATTGTTCGTAACTAGTCGTGTACGTAACTTGCGGATGATATCTAATGAACGTATAGCTTTTCTGTAAAAACAATACGCTCATTGGATATCATTAACATGTTAGTATTATATGAGTAGTTACAAATGATTCAAAAATCGAATCCCTGTAATCTATAGTTCAAGTTATGTATTTTATAGTTGACGATAGGCCCGGTTTCACCAACACGAATTAATAAAATCGGTTAATTAAATTCAGCTTTTACGATAGAACTGTCCAATAGCATCGTTGTTAAGTCAGCGGTACATGATGCTTGTTTTGTGCTGGATTGCTTGCTGGATAGAAATACTGCGTTCTGATTGGTGTATTTCCAAAAATGGATGACAATACATCAATCAAAACGCAGTATTTTCTTCCAGCAAATAATCCAGCACGAAAAAAAAATTGTGTGCCGCTGGCTTTATTGCATCATTTCAGCAGTGCTGCTATAAAGAACAAACCACATGTGCAAAGACTTTTGAATGTTGCGATCATTAATAGTTTCGGCCCACAGGACACGGTAACGCTTGCCGCGCGGCGGAAATTCACGCGGTAGCCAATAAACTTTTAGTTCTTACCGAAAAAGAGCATGTTGATTGGCTACCGCGCTAATTTCCGCTGCGCGGCAAGCATTGCCGCATCCTGTGGACAGAAGCTATAAATAGGGCGCATTCTCTGTTGCACTCTGTGTCTCTTGTTGGAAAATATGTTGAGAATCAAAAATCAATTGTCCATTCAATTAAGCAAGCAAGGAAATATCAATAAATAAAGGATGCTGTTTATTATCGACGAGGTAAGATAAACAATATCTTTGCGTGTTACATATTACAATTAGAAAAAAAAGGTTCCTAACCAAATTTTATTCGAATATTTTTTAGGTATAATACATAGTGCATATTTAACCTCGACATTTTGTAAAATTACAAGAACCAGAGGACCACCTACATTCAAACTGAAAAATAATCTTATTACATACATTCATCTAATGCAACTCTTTGTATGCATGGTATTTGTTATCAGATTACAATCCATTCTTGGCTAAAATACCGTTTAACAATTTAAATTAAAAAGAAAGCTATTTGCCAGTAATCTTTAAAACATTATAATGGACTACGAGAAATATTACAAAGTACTACCGGATGAAACATACAGCATACATTTTGCAAATAAGAAAGGATTCACTAAAGAAGATATAAATAACATGTTTTCATCTTTTGGAAAGGTTTTAAGCATTACCTGGAATGGAGAAATAAAAAATGGACTCATATTTATAAAATATAAAACATTGAAGGAAACATTATATTGTTTGGAAAGCTTACACAAAAGTGACACACGGATATTGCCACAGAAGGATAAAATTAGTAAACCGAAATCTCAGAGAAGTTCCAATAAATGGCTAGCAGGAAGAACAGATAGTTTAATTCCGAAATTTTTTACTGATAAGAAATATAATTCAAATTCTACCTATAGTCATAAGATCATTGCAAATACAGAAGAGCCAACTTGTAATAGAAAAAATTCAGATTACAATAACAAATCTGACTATACTAGCAACTTTTCACATCTTAGTTCTCTGAAACCAAAACACGACTATAAACCTAAATTTAATTTGAATGAGTTTGAACTTGACAAGCTTAATCCATTAATATTAAACGAAGAATGTTCACAGTACCAAAAACAACAAAATTCTGATTACAAAATATCTTCTTATTGTAATCAAGTGACGAAGCAACAGATTAAATTTTATGAACCATTAAAATTTGAAGAAAACACCTATGTGAATAAGGATATATCTACTGGTATCAAAATACCGTCAAGTTCTGATGTGGAAATAAAGTCAAAGGGGTCAGATGAAAAGTTTGGTCACTCGTTGCCAGTTTCAACTAAGAATACTTTGCCTAAATCTGTGATTACAATGCAAGAAGTGATAGTTGCTAACATTCATACAAAGTATGATGTTCATTACATTCTACATTTGTTTCAGAAACATAATCCTATTTCGGCAACGGTTGTAAAGACAATTTTTCAAACTGACATACGATATTGTCTTGTTTATTTTAAGAAAATAGACGATGCTTTAGCTGTTGAAAAAGAGTTTGATAAGTTCGCACTATCCGGAAGAAACCTTATTGTATTACGAAAATCTCAGTCAAACATCTGTTAATAGTTTATATCATCTCATTACTTCAATATTGAGTAAAGTATATAAACGAATATTGAATATGCATTTCTAAACACTATATACAAAATATTATTCATCATGCATGAGATTATATTTTACTCGGTCTTTTTAAGTTAATTTGTCGATTACTAAGTAGTATTAATGTATGTGATAATGTGTTCAATTTGTATAATACAATTTTTATAAAATAACTGTATATAAACTTTCTCTTCTGTTTTTTTACATTAAGTATTATGAGCAGCAAAATTATATCTAAAGTTTTTAATATAATTAGCATTACAATAGATTTATTATGAATTAATCGAATTA